TATAATCCCAGGTAAAATAATTGGGACTAAAGATCCATCTTTAGACACCTCAAAGTTGTATATTATCACCAAAAATTTGGCATCTCCTCTCAAACTCAAGAATTTTTGAAGCATGTCTCGGGCTAGCTGGAGGAGGAAGAAGATATATATGGATATGAATTTTAGTCCCGGTTGGTACGTTAGTGTTATCAACCGGATCTAAAAATCGACACGATCTTTAGTCCCGGTTGGTAACCCCCGAGCCCTGACACGGTTTGACACAAACAACTGGGACTAAAGATCCCCCGAGCCCTGACCCGGTTTTTCGAGCAACCAGGACTATTGTGGAAATCGGCCGACCCAGTAAAGATCACTTCTCTAGTAGTGTTTGGCACCTAGATTCGAATTAGAAAAATATTGTAAAAATTTAGAAGGCGCCAAGTTTCCTTCATGGAGTCCGTCTAACCGACGCCTATGGGCCAGTCTGACTGGCATGTTGGGTCGGTCTAACCGGCGGCATGTGGCTGGTCGACTAGTAGAGTCCGACTCCAAAGTGAATTTCGTCGGGTCTTGAGTTTTCTTACTCGGAAAGGTATGTTTTGGGTTTCCATCGGTTTCAACCCCAAGTTAGATATGGAGGAGGACCTGTAGAAGGCAAGCCCAACCACTTTATAAGGGCCAAGGCCGGTTCGATTCAAAGAACCCCGACAATCTATCTATGCAATCGAATCGTTCTTTTACATTTACTTTTCAGTCATGTTTTCTACATTACTCTATTTTCATCCATCTTTATCAGTTTGCGCCGTAAACCGTTCTTCTTCGCTGCGAGAGTACGATTAACCCTTTGTAGGTTTGTCCCGTAAACCTTCCGTTTGCCCACGAGACGGATAGTTATCCTCGTAGCGATATAAATCGGCCTAGAGGTTGATTTTGATCTCTAAATCGACTCTTCTAGCTAGTTGAGCCATTGTCTATAAAACTCATCTTGATTTGGCCCTTTCACTATATGGTTGGCGACTCTATATCACCACAAGGTGTTTAGTAGTCAATCGTGTTTTGCAGCTTTACCAGAAAAGTTGCCAACAAGTAGATGTTAGTTTCAGTTCCTGTAAGAACAATATAATTAAAAATATGTGAAAAAGATACTCATGCTACTTCTTGGTACACCCTCCTCCAGTTTTATAATCATTTTACAATTTAGCTTGGAGGTTAAAAGGTATTTTTCCTTCATCAGTTTGATCATGCAAGTTTCCATGCACGAGTGCTACTTCTACATGAGGTTGACTGGCAATTTGTCAAGAGAAAATGGCATGCATTCTGATGTGACTCCAAAAGGTTGGTATGATTATTTTACTTTGGAACTTGCCTGTCCTAATTAATACTAGAAAAACGATTCTAGTTGTTCCATCACATTGATAAAGTGACGAGAAAAATCAATCATGAAACAGAAAAGTAGGCTTACAGAAGTTGTTCTTTCTTTGTTTTACATGCGCAAAAAACTCAATCCTATACTTTGTTTTCCATGCGCGCTCTTAGTTTTTACAAAAATTAAGAGTGTGATTTCTTACTACTATGCATTTCTAACTTATAAATGATGTTTTATAAAAAATATATATAGAAAAGTTGTTTTAAAAAATTATATTAACCTATTTTTCATTTGATTAATCATACGCTAACGAGTCTCTCTGTTTTACGTGCGTGGGATTAGTTACCAACCATGGGTGCAGAACACAGCCTTAGCTATCTATAAATACGAAAAGAGGTATAATAATGATGCGTAACAAACATTCTTGAGAGTTTTTATTTAAGTGGTCTCGTTTGCCAATTCATGATGTCAAATTGACCTTGCTGGTTGAGAAGATTTGTGGATGAAGGTTGCTACAATATTAGATTATTTATTTTCGTCTTGAAGAACTTATTGTTGTATTTTTAGAGGGAACTTATATTATATTACTTCGTATTTCAGGTACATGTCTACATATATATGCAAACATGCCGTTTAGTTTCCTCTTTCTCCCATGCATTGTTCATGTGATGCATCAGTACGATGATCAACTACAACAAGATGTCCACTGCCTTCTGCCTTTGTTCTGAAAAGTACATTTGGATGTGCCTAGCCTTACCAAACAACAAACTGTTGTAGTTTAATTAACCATAGCACTGAGCTTAAGTATCCATCCGTATATGATTAACTTAATTTCTGACTGCGGTGCAGCCACCTCATTTTCAACCGTCGAAAACCGCTACAAAATATTTTGAATGTTACTTTCTCCGGATTTTAATAAATGACATAATTTATTTTTATATATGATTGGTCGTTCATATTAATTCAAACAATTATGAAAATATAAAAAATGTAAATCATGTTTAAAGTTCCTTTAATTGATAAAAACAAACCAAAAAATAATAATTTCTTAACTTTTTAATAAGACAAGTGATCAAATGTATATTTATTTAAAAGTCAGTGTCCTTATATATTAAAAAAAAGGAAAGTATTAAACAGTAATATGAAAAATTATAAATCATCCATAAAGTGACTTTAATGATAAAATGAACCATAATAAAACAAATGATAATAACGTAATTTGTTAATAAGACGAATAGTTTTTAAAGATCAGTGTCATCGTACATTAAAAAGGTAAGCTTTAAACAATAATCTTCCGTGCTAATATGTGGAATTCTGACTTCTCCCAACTTTAGAATAGTACACCTTAATGCATTTACATAAAAAAATATAAAATCATAAAAAAAAATATGTGAAACCAAGCATACATGTAAAATTAATATAAGTTTGAATCTCAAATTGTCTACTTTGTATTATTCCTACCGCTAATATATTACTCTCCTTTGATCGGTCTCTAATATCATGCAGCATTTATAAAACCAACTAAAACCACTTGGTTTTTGTGGTTCAGTCATTTCGCTCCGGCTCAAGTTCACAAACCACGCAATCAAACTGGGTTTTTTTTTCTTTCGACAAAATTTGTTCGAGCCCCACTGGTTCTCATGAAAAGCGATGAAAACCACTCAAAAGCGTATTCAGTTGGTGGACGGTTTTATAAATCCTGATATCATGCATCATATATTCATGAGAGGAGGGAGGAAGTGTATATAAATATTGGTCATTATAGGTCCGTTCTTTTCTTATTAAGATATAGATTTTCCCTGGTTTTCATTAGCATTTCTTCAAACCGTTAAACGGTACGTTTCGTAAAAACTTTATATAATATAGAAATTGCTCGAGCCGAAGATACCTGCTAGTAAAATAATTTGGCTGACGTCCCCAGGGGACGAAACCCTAACCGCCGCCGCCCCTCCTCCTCCCTCCTCCGTGCTTCGCCGCCGCCGGAGCTAGTCGCCGGCAAAGCCGGGCGACACACTGGGATGGCGGCGGCGGGGCCATCCTCCTCGGCTTCACCTCGCCCCGGCGCGGGCATGGCGAGGCGAGGTCGTGGCGACGGGGACGGCGCGGCGGTGGGGCTCTCCGCGGCTCTAGCGACGGGCGACGGCGTCGCCAGATCCGGTCACCTCGCTTTTGGCCGGGGTGACCGGCGAGGGCTCGGTCGACGCCGGCGCCGCTCCGCAGACCTGGCAGGGGGTGGCTAGCGGCGGCGATGGTGGCGGATGTGGCGGCGACGAAGTTGGCGACGACGGCGGCGGACTGCGGCGCGTGCCGTGACACCGGCCCTCGTCAAGAACCTCGCCACCACGAGGGAGGCACGGCGCCCTCGTCAATGCTCCGGCTGTGCGTGCCCGTGATGCCTTCCTCCATGATGCCGGCGACCCGCGCTTCGCGTTGCACCTCCGATCCGCGCCACCCCGGCCGGATCTGAACGGCTGGCGTCTGGCGGCTGACGGTGGTGGCTGACGGTGGCGGCTGGATGGGGCTGGCCGTGGTGGTGGCCGTGGCGGTGGCGATGGTGGCTAACGGTGGCGGCTGGCGACGGTGGTGGCTATGGCAGTGGCGATGGCGGCTGTCGACGGTGGTACCTATGGCGGCGATGGTTGAAGGCCATCATCCGGCTGTCGGTGCGTCGTCGTCGGCGGCGGTATATGGAGGCGGGGAAGGAGGAGTCCGGGTGCGGGCGTGCCGTCGACGGCGGGAAGAACTGTGGGCGGTGGCCTTGGCCGAATCGCTGAAGGGACAATGTTGTTGACCGACGATGATCCTTCTTGTGCGGATTGGTGGTGTGGGTTTGGACAGGGAATCGCGGGCAAAAGCCTTGCCGAGCCATTTGGCCAGCTGACAACGGCGACGCCGTTTGGCGTCGTTCCCCTCCTTGGAGACGTTGTTTTAGCATACCCCTCTCCTTTCCCTACCATATTCTCCGGGTGAAAACCTTGCTTCGGTTCCGAACGAGCGGTGGCGGCGATCCACGTCGCATCCTCCTTGGGGGCACTGTTTTGGAGAAACCTCTTCGTGCAAGGTTATTATCAATGGTCTATGCATTGGCTTCGAACTTCAGTGCTAGGCTTTGATGCGGCCTTCTAGCTCCACATTTTGTTTTGCTTTTCTCAGTTTGGGTCCTCTCTTCTCTTGTTTGGTGTGTTCAATTTGTCTTGAACTACACTCTCTTCTGGAGTGGATCTTTGTTATAATTGGCTGTAATTCTTTTTTAGCAAAGGCCATGATATTATATTCCATTATCTAAAAAAATAGAAATTGCTCTAAAATAATAAATAATTTTTTTAAGAGCAAGTTTAGTAGTAGAGTCGACTACTAGGTATAAATTAATATTAGAATTAACTTCTATAATAGATAAGTTAGAAGGGTGTCTCTAATTTTCTTCTTCTATCTTTTTATTACCTATGTAATTGATGAATTTATCGTAAAGTATGTAAAGAACTAGCTCTTTCTTATTTTGTTTAATTTTTTCTCCACGTAGGCTTATAAATTGGTTTATAGCCAATTATTAAATTTTCTTTAAGTTTGTAATAATTATAACTCAATTAATAACGCGCATTTTGCAAGCTCTTACTTAATCATTTATTATCTTTATCGGTTTCAAACTGGGCCCTAGGCCATAAAACAAACGAGTGGTTTAAATTCAAGTGTCTTCCATGATCCAAGCTGCAAACGCCATGGCTACTCATCAGAGGAGACACCCCAGTGTCGCCGCCGAGCTGGAGGGCACGCTGCTCATCTCCGGCGACCTCTTCCCCTACTTCCTCCTCGTCGCCCTCGAGGCCGGCGGCCCGCTCCGGGCCGCCGTCCTGCTCGCCGCGTACCCCGTCGCCGCCCTCCTCGGCGTCGCCCTGCCCGACGACGACCTCGCCGTCCGCGTCATGACCTTCGTGTCCACCGCCGGCCTCTCCGTCGCCGACGTGGCGGCGGTGGCGAGGGCCACGCTGCCCAGGTTCTTCCTCGCCGACCTCAGCGACGCCGCGTTCCGGGCCTTCGCGCGCCGCGACGCCGCCGAGAGGTACGTCGTGACGCGGCTGCCGACGGCCATGGTGGAGCCGTTCGTCCGGGAGTACGTCGCCGAGGGAGCCCGCGTCGTCGGGGCGGAGCTGCGGGTGGTCGGGGGGCGGTTCACCGGCGCGGCGGTGAACGGCGACCGGAGCTTGGGCGCTCTGCAAGCCGTTCTTGGGCGCGGCCGCCGGGTCATCGACGTCGGGCTGTGCTCCGGCGACGGCGCGGCGAAGCGGCAGCCGGCGTTCATGAAGATATGCCAGGAGCGCCACGTGGTGTCCACGCCGGAGAAGGCGCCGGCGGCGCCTCTTCCGAGGAGCGAGTACCTCCGGCCACTGATCTTCCACGACGGCCGCCTCGTCGGCCGGCCGGACCCGCTGGCCTGCCTCGCCGTCGCGCTCTGGCTCCCACTCGGCGCCGCCCTCGCCGTGACACGCATCCTCATCGCCTTCTTGCCCTACAGCGTCGGCCTCCTCCTCGCCGCGGCCACCGGCTTCCAGATAAGAGCGCACCTCGGCGGCGCGCCACCGCGGTGGCGAGGGGGCACGTTGTACGCGTGCAACCACCGGACGCTGCTGGACCCGGCGGTCCTCTCGACGGTGGTGCACCGGAAGGTGACCGCCGTGACGTACAGCCTCTCCGGCTTGTCGGAGATGATCGCGCCGATCCCGACGGTGCGGCTGACGCGCGACCGCGGCAGGGACAGGGTGATCATGCAGTCCGTGCTCGCCGGCGGCGACCTCGCCGTCTGCCCGGAGGGCACCACGTGCCGGGAGCCGTACCTGCTCCGGTTCAGCCCCCTGTTCGCGGAGATCGCCGGCGAGGTCACGCCGGTGGCCGTGCGGGCCGGCGGCGCCATGTTCCACGGCACGACGGTTAGGGGGTACAAGGGGATGGACTCCTTCTTCTTCCTCATGAACCCGGCGCCGTGGTACCATCTGCAGCTGCTCGACCCGGTGCCATCCTCTTCTGCCGCCGCCGACGGTGATGGCGGCGGTGACGGCGGCGGCGAGTCGAGCCGCGACGTGGCGAACCGCGTGCAGCGAGCGATCGGCGACGCCCTCGGATTCGAGTGCACGGCGCTGACGCGCAGGGACAAGTACCGGATGATCGCCGGCCACGACGGCGTCGACATGCGCGGCAACGCCCGCCTCTAGCATATGCAACGGAAGCAGATCCTCTCACATGCAGTAATTGGGTCACCGACATGTGGGTCCCACTTTTGCTATGGCCCATATGTCAGTGGCTCAACTGCGCTGTAGTAAAATCAGAGGATCTCTTTCCATATGCAACCTATATACAGCACGTCGCATGTGATAGCCTAAGATATTGTAACCTAGTACAATGAATCTGGTCGGACAAACGTAACCACCAGTCCAACTAATCTGGATAGAGCATTAGCCCAGAATCCGGATTCGTAGATATGTCCTGTCCGATAATATATTGCTATATTTTAAGACTAAGATAATAATTATTAAGTTGTAAGCGTATTAAATAAATCCTTTCAATATGTTCTTGGCACATGTTCGTAGTTTAGATCAATTAATCAGTTGCCAGATCCAAATTGACCAAAATTTGGTCTAATTAAGTGTTGTGTAGAATATTTTTATTTATTTTCGATTGTTTCATGCATCATGGGTGTCAATTCAGTAATGAGCAACCACTAGCTCTCATCCAACTTGCATTGAGTGCTTGGCAGCATGGCAATTTAAATCCAGTGGTGTGTATTTATTATCCTCAGGATAGATCATGGACACATATTCCAAATAAATTGGAGATATTTTTATTTATTATTATTCATTGTAGATAAAAAAAACATTAAGCATGACTGTCTCCAACAAGAAGGGGCAGGCATGCATGCATGCATGCAGCTTGTTGTACAAACTAGCAACAGGTTCACTTGAAATGAACCATCTTCATTATTCTAGCTTTGTCTCAACTCTCCATCTCCAGAAGTTCAGAATGCTCATGGAATGCTGCAACATTTAAAAATGAACAAACATATATATAAGCCACCAGTTGCAGTGTTTAATAGTGCATGTACAGAATAATTAAATACCCAAAAAAATACTCTTTTTGTTAATAAATATTTTTTCAATTTTGTTAAGAATTAGTCAGTACAGTATAGATTTGTTGACAATCTCATTATATTTGTGTTTGAAAACAGGACTACCTGGGCCATGACCCTGTGCGGATGTACCTGGATCTAAATTTGTATGGGCTTTGACAAAATATTACCAAATATGGGCCAAAATATGTTGGCCCAGATCTTGGCGTTGGGCTGGGTCCAATCCTTTTTCTTTTGAAATACCTTTTAATTTTTTTAAAAAAAATTGTTGTTTGAAAATCTACTGCTATTTCTTTTGTTGGGAAACGCTCAGAAATCTTCCGGCTAGCTCCAACGCTAGATGATTTGGCTTCGAAGCCTTACCCATTCTAATTATTTAATAGTAGATCATTCCTTAATATTCGTGCCTTTTTTAAGTCCTATTTCTATTTCTTTTGTTGTTTGAAAATGCTTACGTGTTGCAGTCGAAGTCGAGGCTGAGCGGGAACGGCAGCGGCGCGGCGCACTTGGCCGGGAGGTCGCGGATGGCGTCGCCGTTGAGCCCCTTGAACCGCGCCGCCGCCTTCTTCACGCAGTCGCAGGCGAACCGCCGCTCGGCGGTGCCGACGGGCAGCGTCCGGAGGTGCCTCACGCCGGCGCAGCAATCCCCCGAGGGCGCCGCCGCCTTGCCGGTCAGGTACGCCACGCACGGCAGCAGGCTCGCGTCCACGTCGCCGCACGTCACCGCGCCGTCGACGACGGACACCGCCGCCGCCGCCAGCAAGCAGCCGGCCACCACCACCATCGCCACCGCAGCCGCTCCCTTCATCTTCGCCGTCGTCTTCTTCTTCTTCTTCTTTCTTGTGTGTGTTGTGTGCTCATCCATGGCGAGAATGGCTTCGATTTATATAGCCTGGTACTTGGGGATCGAATTCAGTTGGATTGCCGTTGCAGCATCTTGTGAGTGATGATGCGAGCTGATGAGCTCAGAAATGAATTTGGATGTGTGTTGATGTGCTGAGAAATGAATGGCACCAAGAAGATTGGATTGGGTTGGGTTGGGATAGGAGGAAGATGATGCTCTGCATGAAGGCCACGACTACATATCGTAACAGACTCTGTTTCCTGTGCTCACTCGGAAGTTATAGCTAGTATCATCAATTCTATCGAGCTAAGTAGCTTCTGCTACGAAATATATTTATCACAACCTTGAAGTACACGATGCGTATTATTTGCACGTACTAGAAGATATCTAGTCTCAAAGAACCTACTGTGTGAACGAAATGAATGGAATTCAGCAAGAAAGTGAGATTCATCAGCTGATGCTTAATTTCTTTGATTCATCAGCACTTGCATTCATCGTCACTGTCTACATGTGTGATTGATTTGATAGATACATGTAGAATTAATTCACTCTTAATTACGTTAAGCTGCATAGCTCGATCGGCTTCTCCTGTCTGCATTATTGTCCACACGACGCCTAGCTCAAACTTGCTTGCCATGGCGACCGTACATCTGCGGCGGCAGGCGCGGCGTGGCGACGGCGACGAGCGGCTTGGCCTTGGGCATGGTCATGCCGTACACCTCCTGGGTGTCGATGTCGTCGGGGCGGAGGCCGTCCGGCGGCGACCAGTCGAAGCAGTGGAAGAGCCTGGCGAGCGCCATGAGCACCAGGATGACGCCGAGCGGCGCGCCGGGGCACTTGCGCTTGCCGGCGCTGAAGGGGAGGATCTTGAAGTCCGGCAGGTGGCTGATCTCCACCCGGCCGCCGTCCGCCGATGCCGGCAGGTGCCTCTCCGGCCGGAACGCGTCGACGTCGTCCCAGATGCGGGTGTTCCGGCCGAGCGCGTGGGTGTTGATGAAGATCCTCGTCCGCGCCGGGATGTCGTAGCCCATGATCGTCGTCGGCTTCAGGGACTCGTGGGGGATCAGGAATGGCCCCGCCGGGTGCATCCGGAAGGACTCGCGGACGACGCACCGGAGGTAGGTCAGCTGGCCGAGGTCCGACTCCGCCACCATGCGGCCGCGGCCGACGACGCCGTCGAGCTCCTCCTGGATCTTGCGGAGCACCCGGGGGTTCTTGATCACCTCCGCCATCACCCACTCGTTGGTCACCGATGATGTGTCGGTGGCAGCAGCAATCATGTCCTGTGTTGTGTACATGGATTAGTTTTGTTTTTGTCTACTTAGAACAGAATTGCTTATGACTAATTTGATGTCTTATGCAAGATTTCTGATACTGAAAAATGCAGTTGTATACTAGTAGCGCTAGCATGCACATAATGTTGAAGAATAATACAGGTTGTTCAACATGTTTTCTTCTAGTTTACTTTCAGAAAATCTATCATTTCTTTACTTCTAATTTTCTTGTAGTCTCCAGGACAAGAAAGGATAGTTTGTACTTTGTACTGTCCATCACTTCACTGTGGTTCCAACATGTAGCACTAGAAATGAAATAACATGGTTTGCCAGAAGTAACAGATAAATTCAATCCGAAAAGCAAACATAGCTCATAACAACAGAAGAACCAAAAACTCTGCTGTGAAAACAGATCTTTAATTACCTTCCCTTTTATTATTTTCTTTAAAAGAACCAAGTCATCTATTGGTTGAATCTCAAAGGAGATAACATTAACGTGGCTAGATTTGTTGCAAACATAATGGCAGCTAGCAAATCATTTCAATTTCAAGAATAGACTATAACAACAAACACAGTGATGGCTTAGTTAAAAAACAAATGAACTTAGAACTAGACTAGAATAACAAAAACAGTAAACATACCTGCATCAAAGCTTTGATCTCGACGTCGTCCATGTGCTCTTTTCCGTTCTCGCCGGGCAAAGAAAGCAGTACATCAACAAAGTCCATGTCTTCTTTGTTATCATCATCAAGGGATGCACTCTTCTTGGCCTCCCTAGCCTTCCTGTGCTCATCAATAATCTTCTGGTGGAAGTCGTCCACCTTCTTCTCAACCTCCCTCATCTTCTTCTCACACCCATATGGATCAAGCCACCTCCAGGCTGGCAAGTAGTCCCCAAGATAGATCAGGCCCAGCAGCCAGAACAGTTCATGGGTGATGTGCATGAACTCCATTGCTTCACCAGGGCCTGCTGACTGCAGACCAAAGTACTGTTTCCCTAGCAACATCCTTGTCACGTTGTTCATCGAGAAGGCCCCAAGAACCTCTCTGAGATTCACAGGTTTCCCTGACTGGGCTTTAGCCCACACAAACTGACAGAGGTGCTCAGCCTCCAGTGCTCGGTGAGCAGCAAAAGATTCAAGCCGCTTGGTTGTCAGCAAGTGCTCCATGCAAACCCTCCTCATCCTCTTCCAGTTCGGCCCCAGCGGAGCAAGGGCCACATCACCGCACCCATAGGCAAGGTGAACAGCGGCCAAGGTCCGAGGCCGTGAAGCAAATACCTCATCTTGCCGGATGAGTATCTCACGGATGACTTCAGGGTCATCAGTGGTGATGGCATCGATGGTTCCAAGACGAAGATAGACCAGGGGGCCATACTTGGTGCAGAATCGAGCGAAGTCTTTGTGGGGAAGAGGGCTCAACTGGAGAAGGTTACCAAAGATTGGCCACCTTGGAGGTCCAGGTGGAAGCCTTCGCCTCATGCAATTGAGCTTTTTCCAGGACACTACAACAAAGATCCATGAGCATAAGATGATGGAAAGAAGAAAAGGATCCATGGTACAGAAACAGATGGCAATTATAGTCCTATTTATGGGATCTCATCAAGCTCTATGATAAAGCAAATCAAGTGACTAAAGTTGAAGCGAATTGGTTACAGAATTAGACTGGTCATGATTCTTGTGCTGATCTATATTGTTCAACATCTCAACTAACATCATATAATAAACGTCATGATCTTGACATGACAGATGGTGTGATGCAGAGCACTGAAAATGCCAAGGAAAAAGAAGAGGGAATGAATATAAAAGAAAGTCTCTTCAGATGTGCTCACCCAAAAAAAAGTTCTCTTCCATACTGTTATTCAGCAATGTGCTCAGTGCAATTCATTTTTTGCACATTTCTGTAAGTAACGCATAGATGACATTCAGGAGCAAGATTATACTATTGACGATTGGTGCTCTGCCTTTTCCTGTCAACATGACTGTATCTTGATGGTAGCTATTTAGAATACATCTCCTACTTCATCTACCACAAATAACATGCAGACATGACTCATGAACTGGCTTCTTCATCAATTGATGATCGGAAGACAATCTCCTGCATAAATGTTCTTGAATTTAAGCAAACAGCAACCAACAATACAACTATTCTTCAATGCTTTCCTGTAGCAGATGAATTCCGTGTATCAATCTTCCATTTACTGTCTAAACTTTAAAAAGAAGATGGAATCAATATAAAGATTATGACAGGTCTTAAATAACAAATACTGTAAATTCATGAACTACAATACTATCTAATTGTTACCCTCAGAAAAGAAAGGATCTATTGTTCACCCTTTAACTATCAAAATCAGTGTAACCCCTACCCTTAAAACCACCAGTGTTATTCTGGCCAAATAAGACATTTTTTTGTGGTGAAAAGGAGTTATTTGTGCCCATTTTGGTAGTTGAAGAGTGCAAGTTAGATGATTTCATAGTTAAGGGTGAAAACTCAGCTGCATCAAAATGGACAAACTTAATCCTATAAGAAATAAGGACCTGCCAGAAAAATGGATCTCGAGTTCTGGGCCAACAGCATATCACCAAGCACCTGGTCAGATATCCACATTTTAGGCATTATGTACAAGTCATGTGATATCTTTTTTATGCCATCCTAATTCTCATTTAGCAGTGCCATGTAACATGATCATTCTTGTTTTCATCGGTCAGAGATCTAGAACTAGTCAACTAGAAGGTTCTCAGTATGTGTTATATTTCAGTGGCCTTATCCTGCATAATAAGGCTATAACCAGGCCTCTTACTGGCCAAGTTGGATAGCTGTACAACTTTTAGCATTTCTTCATCCTCCATCCCTGCTGAGGAGAACATCCTTGACAGGACTGTGTAAGCCGTTGCATCGTAAGGATCCTTCTCAAGAAGCTTCTGTGCTGCTATTTTTGCAAAAGCGAGATTAGAATGGAGACTACTAGCACTGAGCAAAGCTGCCCATGCATCAGAATGATCATTCTGGGGCATTGAGTTAATCATTTCCAGTGCTTCAGCAAGGAGGCCTGCACGACCTAAAAGATCAACCATACATGTGTAGTGCTCAGGGTTTGGCTCTACACCATAAACTGGTCTCATTGATTCAAAGTAGTTGTAACCTTGTTGAACAAAACCAGCACGTGCGCAACCAGTCAGAATTCCTAAAAATGTAACATGATTAGGCTTGTATCCAGCATTTTGCATTTTGGTAAATAGTTTCAGCGCATCTTCAACGAAACCATGTTGCACAAATGCTGTAATCATAGAATTAATAGCAATAAGGCTTGGGTTGCTAATGCTTGAGAAAACATGATAAGCCTCAGCCAACCTTCCACATTTTGCATACATCGATACCAAAGAAGTGTGAACGGCAGAGTCAAACACCCATCCCATGTTGATCGAATATGCATGAGCTTGCCTTCCCTGATTCAACATTGCCAGGCTAGCCAAAGCACTCAGCAGACAACTGAAAGCTATTGTGTTAGGTTTGCATCCTTCTTGTGACATGCGGCAAAACCACCGCACTGCACTTAGATAGTCCCCATTTGTGATAAAACTAGAAATGATCGCAGTCCAAGCGACCTCGTCTTTTACTGGCATTTGCTCGAAAAGTTCAACAGATTCCCTCATCCAACCCCTGTTAGCAAACCCAACAACCATTGATGTCCAAGAAACAGCATCCTTCTGATGCATCAACTTGAACAGCACATGTGCTTCTTCAACCATGTCATGCTGAACGTAACCTGTGATCAGTGAGTTCCATGATACTATGTCTTTCTGCTGCATGCAGTCGAACGCCCTTTTTGCATCAACCATCCAACCAAAACGAGAATACATTATGATTATTGAATCACCCAAGAAAATATCCAGCTCAAATCCCATTGATATAATCAAATTGTGAATCTGAATCCCTTCTCTGGCAAGACTGGCCGCAGCACAAGCATCCAGCGCAACTGAGAGTGTCGTTGTGTTAACCTGAACACCTTCTCTTCTCATATTCAGGAACAGGAGGAGACCATCTCTGCACATCCCACGTTTCACATATCCCCGAATCATCGAAGTCCAAGACACCACATTCCGCTCTGGCATGGCGTCAAACACCCTCCTCGCCTCTGACACACTCCCATGTTTACAGAGGCCATCGACCATGGCGCTCCAGGAAATGACATCCCTCACCGTCATTCCCTCGAACACCCTCAGTGCCATGGCAAGCTCCCCGACCCTCAAGTACCCAGCCATCAGCGCATTCGACCCTACTGGGTCACGCCACTGCCATGGCATCTCCTCATACACCAACTCCGCCTCATGCAGCATCTCCGCCTTGGCGAGCCCCGAGATGATGGCACCGTAGGACACCGCGTTCTTGGCCGGCATCTTGTAGAAGAGCGCGTGGGCAGCCCGCGGGCGCGCCGCGCGGAGGTAGACGGAGAGCAGCGCGTTCCAGGACGGGGCGTTGCGGCGGGGCATGTCGTCGAAGACGAGGCGCGCGGAGGCGAGGTCTCCCCCGTCGGCGTAGGCGGTGAGGAGGGCGGTCCAGGAGATGACGTCGCGGCTGGGCATTTGGTCGAACAGGAGCTGGGCGTCGCGGAGGCGGCCGCGGCGGCCGTACGACGTGAGCAGCGCGTTGAGGTGCGCCCTGTTGGGGCCGCGCGGCGGCGGAGGCTCCCCCTCCGGTGCCGGGAACCGGTGGGGGACGCCGGCGGCGAGCGCCGCGGTGGTCGGCGCTCTTGGCAGTCGCAGCGCGGCCATGGTGAGTACTGCTGGACTACTGGGTTCACAGGCTTGCAGAGTGTACCCGCCGTATCCACCGTTCATTTTCATCCGACGTCTCGCTATAAATATATTTGAAGTTTAAAGCGAGATTTGGTCAAAATTTTAAAACTTTAGCTACTAATGCTATGGCCGTGTTTAGTTCGTGTGCCAAAATTTTTAATTTTTTTTTAATTATACGGACACACATTTGAAGTATTAAACGTAGACTAATAACAAAACAAATTACAGATTCCACCTGTAAGCTGCGAGACGAATTTATTAAGCCTAATTAATCCGTCATTACCAAATATTTATTGTAGCATCACATTATCAAATTATGGCGTAATTAGGCTCAAAAGATTTGTCTCGCAATTTACATGCAAAATGTGTAATTGATTTTTTTCGTCCACATTTAATGCTCCATGCGTGTGTCAAAACATTTGATGTGACGAAATTTTTAGAAGTTTGAAAGGAACTAGACACTGCCTATATTTAGAATGAATTTAATCTAGTAAGTTTATGATATCATATGATTCTATTAAATCTACTCATACTATGTTCTTTTTTGTTTTAAAACTAAACATTTAGGAAGTTCTTGACGATCAGAGTTTGAAATAACCAAATTTTACCTAAACGTTCAATATATATGACTGGAGGGAGTAATAAGAAATGGCACTGATCTCAGTAGTCATTTTGTAGCATAAAGCGTCAAAATGGGGGGGAAAAAAGAGAGATAACACAAATGACAACAAATCTAGTTTAGTTTCTTCAACAGTTGAGTGGGTGCTATCCAAGAATAGCAATGACAGAGAAAATACATCATCGATGGAACTCATGAGTGGAGAAAAAAAGAGGCTATCTTTTACAAGAAAGAGAAGAACAGAGATGATTTTTAGCATCATCAGGATTCTGTCCAAGTTTCTAGGATTCTAGGCTACAAGAACAGGCATATATATCTAATAATATGCTGATCTGATCATCTACTACATCAAAATTGGGATCAATTACAGGAATAAGGACATAGACGCCACGAGATGGCGAATGGAAATCAGGCAAATGCATGGAACCATGGACCGGAGCTGCCTAATCTTCAAGCCCCAACATCACAGCCATGTGAAGCGATGAGCTCGATCGAGTCAACATTGCAGCAGCTAAGCTATTGTCAGGTGATTCTTCGTGTCAAAAAAGAGAACACCAGCCAGCCACCCCACCAACCAAAATAACCGGCAGGTGGAGGAGGAATGCTAAAGTCGAGTGACTGATTTAATCCATTTGTCGTCTCGCTATCTGTAGTTGCAGCAGGATGCTCGGCCCTGGACCAGCTTGTCCCAGAGGCACAGCATTTGCCTCGGTGACTGGTAATGCGCCGTGTAATAGTTCTCCAGGCAGCCGTACTGGCAGAACTTCCAGCTGTGGGAATACTTGACAGGAGACGTGGAGTTGAACTTCTCAACCCACAGCCCCATGCTTACGTCCTCCATCTTGAATAGCTGCAGTGCATGACCCAAAAAGGGAAACCGATCAATACATCGCCATAAAAGTTATACGTGATAGGCGTCATCGGAAGCTCACCCTTAAGCTCTGGTTGGCATGCTGAGACACGACGAATTTCGCTATGTCACCAGAAATCACATAACCGGGTCCATTTGCATAAGGTGGATAGATGTCTTCAGGCCACTCCTGCATCGAAAGTCATGAGGGTGTTCATGAACAGAATAAACACAGTTGCAAAGGAGTAGATAGTTTCCTTGGTTAGTAAAAAAGGGAGGGATCAAATATAAACAGAATATGAAACGCTATCAAATGAGTGAACTTCAAAGTTGAATTGACTAATTTGAGGAAAAACAACAGAGACAGAGGGTATTACCTCTGTTGTAACTGTCCATTTACCCATTCTCAAGGGCCTATGCAAGAGGTTGAGGTTCCCCATATATAATGGCCTGCCACCATTGTTCAACTTGATGTGTCTGACAACCACATCTACCCTCACAAATGTATCATCGTCACATTTCATGATATGTACAGCAGCCAAATTTTGGACCTGCAAGGCAAAGGGAATGACAGACGTCAGGTTTGTTATTTATCGACACTATACTTATTAGTGAGCATGCTTTTGATGGTAACTAAAATTTGCATAAACTTCATCATGTCTGTCTGTAAGCCACAAGCGATGTTTGGAGGTCTTAGTTTCTACAAGAAGATACTTGTCTTAAGAGCTGTATGCAAGTGGTTTAGCTCCTGACTACAGCATGGGTTTCTGAGAAGTTTATATAACAATAAATTGTTTGGGAGGGCTTAGCTTCTAGTAGCTTTCATCTTAAGCTTAGGCCCTTCCAAACAGGCCAATGGCCACCTGCTCCCACTATTGAGGTTTGCAATAAGCCCATTCATAAGCAAGTATCTACTGATGGGAATAAATTATGTGTGTATCATAATTTCTGTACAGGCATACAGCTATTCTTACTTTGGTTTAGAATATTGGCGGAAGAGCAACAATAGAAGATTAAGCAAGAGTGGCTCACCCCGTACTCGCAAATAGCGATTGTCTTGAGAACCACCAACTCATAACGATCTATAAATGGCAAAATTACAATGTCTCCAAAGTATTCAGCTTCTCTCTTAAGCATTACATTGACCTCTTTCCTTGAATTCTGCAACCACAATTTGTAATGAATAAGATCGCAGCAATCACCTCATTTCCTACTACACTTTTGAATTTGTTTGTTTCTTCTATGAGATGGCAAACAATCAACCGATATATAACCATCGCTGGCGCGCACGATCAACAATTTGCATTTTTTTAGACATTTAACAAGGTATGAATAAATGATAAGGTAGTGAATACCTATATGAACAATTAGAGATAAAGTATTACAAGACTAGAGATGTTGTGTATATGAAAACACAGAATCATCTGCACATTGGAAAGTTCAAATATGTACCTACATTTTTACGGTTCATGCTTCCATCATCCCATTCTACACATAAAGAAAATCCATATAACCATGCAGAATGAAACTTAGAAGACCAGTAGAGAATCTGAAGATACATTTTTTTTAACTTAGCACACAAGCATCCTCAGTCATAACCTTAAACAGAATCAGTTCTGTAAGTCAACAACTTGAGTGTAGAATAGATTGACATGAATACTTTAACATAAATGGTCTTTTCTTTTCTGAGAGAAAGAGAGATAGCCGCTCTTTAACTTTCTTTGCTTTGTTAACATGCTATGTCTTATAAATTCAATTATTTTTGGATGAATATGCTTACCAGTGCAACAAAGAATCGGGCAACCACTTTAGATGACCGGACTTCTGAACTTTGCATCCATGTTTTTCTAACAGCCATTCGCTCAGCGAAATGATTAGAAGCAGAGAGTATTCCAATAAAAAGAAAAACTGGATCTTTTGGTAGTGGTCGGGTCCTCCATTTTTCTGACATCTCAAGAACTTGTTGAAGTGAAAAACTGGGATGAGACATAGGAAGTGCAGTGGCATAAACTGAATGAACATCCACATCGCCCTTAACAAATAACCCTGTTGCATCTTCAAGAGTGAAGCCCTGGAAATGATCACGGCTACCCGTAAGTGTTTCTTGTAATTATCACAACAGATAAATAGCCGGATGAACATGACTAGAGAGCATACTGGTCTGTAAGGGAAGGAGGTCACATGTCTTCCACCAACATATATATGGAAACCTTCAACTCCAGCTTGCATAGTAAGAACAAATAGCCTGTCTTCTACAAAAGGGAATGGCCATGTCATTGCAGGTTTCTTTGCACGCCCAATGAACCTCTTCAACCATGAAGTTGTCTTGGACTCCTTTGTGTCAACAACATCATCACGTATCCATTTTTCACATTTGGTGAACCCATCAACTGACCAAAAATACAAAATTGTATGCTTTAGCCAAATATGTTAACCTGAGGGTCAAAGTATAGTGTTACCTACACTAAACACAACATTCTCACCTCATGTCAAAAGTGAAATTGTATGAAAATTTACAACACCTTAAAACTTCCTGGTGCATTAGGCATTTTGAGGATTCAATTCGGTAAGAGCTACTTCCTCCATTTCAAGTTATAAGACTTTCTAGCATTGTTCATATTCGTATATATGTTAATGAATCTAGACATATATATGTGCCTTGATTCATTAACATCTATACGAATGTGGGCAATGCTAGAAAGTCTTATAACCTGAAACGGAGGGAGTACTAAACACTACATACTCATTTGTTTGTGATGGTTAATCCGTACTATACATTATAGGTTCCTTAAATAAGCATTGCGTTGGACTGGTAACTACTCGTTCTGTTAACATGAGAACACAAGCAATTCATTCCTAACTTCCACAGGTATAAATGTATGTATGCCAACGACAACATCAGTAGTAGTAAGTTATCACCAGACATCAAAATTAAGATCCAAGCTAGATTTAGAAGAGCAAATCATACCCTTATCGTCGTTGTCCTCGGGCGGCGACCCATCGCAGCGCTGCGCGGAGCCCCACTGCATCCTATAGCAGGTATTGTGCTCGATGATTGGTCGCTGGCTCCAATCCCCTCTCAACCTGGGGTTGAGGTGCAGTATCCTGGGCGGGTCCTCACCGTCGACGGCGCGAAGCCCCTGAAGCTCGACCATGAACTGGGAGACGAGCACGGTGCCATCCCCCTGGCGCATCCTGGCCAGCTGCGGCACGTACTCCTTGTGGGCGGCCCTGGGCGTGCCGACGACGGTGACGGAGGAGCCGGCGGCGAGGCCGCAGGGCAGGAAGACGACCCTCCCGCGCGCGCGCACGGAGACGGCGGAGGGGCATTTGTCGGTGGTGGCGGTGTCGACGGCGGCGAGCTCCCACGGGTCGCCCGCGAAGGCCGCGGCGTCCTCCCACGCGGTGAGGCCGAGCGCCCACGCGTCGTCGGCCATGCGGTCGAGCGCCGAGCGGTTGCGCGCCACGATGTCCGGGAGGGAGACGCGGTCGTAGCGGTGCCAGAAGGGCTGGACCTGGAACAGCGTCGCGTTGCCGTTCCCGTTCCCGGGGGAGGTGGAGGTGGTGGTGGTGGTGGAGACCGGGAGCGGGGGGAGGTGGTCGGAGGAGGAAGGGGAGGAGAAGGCGGCGTCGGTGGCGGCGAGGTCGGCGGTGGCGAGGTCGAGCACGCGGCGGAACTTGAGGGAGATGAGGAGGAGGTAGGCGGCCCCCGCCACGAGCACCAGGTGCGACGGCCGCCACCGCCGCGCCATTGCGCCACCCCCCTTCCCCCTCCTCCTCCTTCCGCGGCGCAGTAGCGGGGGCCACGCCCCGCGTGCGTCTCCGGCGAGCGGCGGCGGCGCGCCGGATCTGGCGCGGCGCGCGGCGTGGGATCGGAGGGTGGCGTGGCCGTACGGTCCGGGCGATGAGGAGGAGAAATGGAAGGGGAGGGGGCGTCGCGTCGTGCGGGTGACGTGGCCTAGTGGGGAGGTGGGTGGGATTGGGTGTGTGGCTGGCTGGTGGGCCCGGACAACTGTACGGTACGGGAGCGTGCGTGTGACAAGGACACGTCGGATTGGAAACGTTTGCTGCCGATACACCTCCGTGTGACAAGAATGGTTTGTGGTTTGGTCACCTATAAAGAATGGCCAAATTGAGCATCAAATTAATAAACAAACTGGTTGATAATTAAAGAATAGAGAATGGCCAGGGAGAAGTAACAGGAAGGAGGGGAGCTAGTCTAGTATTATTTGCTGTTCTAATTTAACGTGGTACACTCCCTCCATTTTATAATTATAAGTTGTTTTAAAAAAATTAATCAAATATTTAAGTTTGACTAAGTTTTTGAAAAAGTGTAACAATATTTTTTAAAAAAAACACATTATTTAAATATATCCGATGTTACATTCAAGATACATCGGATTGAAAACGTTGCCGCCGGTACACCTCCAGGAGCATATGATACGAGGATGGTTTGGTCATCTATAAAGAATAGCCAAATTAAACATCAAATTAATAAACGGACTGGTTGATAAGGGAGGGTTTATAAGCTTATAGGTAGGGAGAAGTAGCAGGAAGGAGGGGAGACAGTATTGTTTTCTTTTGCTTCCATGGCCACACTTTCTTTCAAGATATTGCTCAATGTATATACAAGTCTGTTGTAATTCGTAAGTGTAACTATACCACTTAAATAACCGCACAGAATGTTGGTCCTAAACATAGTACTAGATATAACTTCCGTTCCAAAAATAAGCCAACCTATATGAGGATTTGACATCACCAGATTCATTGTTTTATGTGGTGTCAAATCTTCACCTAGATTAGGTTTTTTTTTTTGGAACAGAGAGAGTATATGTTATCGTGGACTTAGAGGTTTTCTATAAAAGTAGTACTATTATACTTCATCCATAGAATTATAAAAAAAACATGTTATTGAGGAGCTTTTTAGACCAAGAAATATCTAGACACCCTTATTTATGGTTCTATCTACTCTAATTACAATGCATGCATTCGTTAATCAAGAGTCTTTTGGTTGCCTCATCATGCAAGATGATTGCAAATGCATGCATCATAGTGCCCAATAGTTGATGTAAGGATGTTGGAGGAGTGTTTTGAGAAAAGTGTGTACCCTATAATTTTCTATAGCCCCAAGAAACCATGACTTAATTTTTCAATAGCGAGAGGATAGTCAAAATTGGATGGAGATATTGGCGAGTGTGATTTGTTAATTAGCACGCTTCTTAGGAATACCAGCAAGGTTTACCTTTTTAATTTTTGAAGTTAAAACAGTTCATTAACCGATTTACCCAAAACCAATGGAAAACCGATAAAAATCGATGACTTTTGATCAACGATGCATGGAAACTGGCTAATAATAACTCTATTTCACAAACTGGAAAACGGTTTTTGTAAAAATCAATCAGTTCTGTGAACCCTGGTGAGAACCACGTTTGTTTCTCAATCTGTCACAATTAAACAACAAAGCTCCTCCCGAGATTTTGCGTACGTTTCATCCGTCCCATAAAAAATCAATCTAGTACTGGATGTGATGCATCTTAAATATGTCACATCTAGTTTTAGATTCATTTTTTTAAGGACAGAGAGAATAGTATTCTAGAAATATTAAATATATTTTGTTACAGTCGTGTAATTAATGCCATGATGCAGAGTGCACGTTGCATGCTCGAGACAACATGATTATGTGATGGGTCCTTTTTTGTTGGTGACATTTCTGCATTGGGCTGTGACAATCCTGAAAGAATTTTTTTTTATTTTTAATTTTTTTTATTAAAAGTTTTACAAAAATAATTTTTCATTTTGAAAATTGACAGAAGTGGTCGCCTACCGCCCTCTGGGAGGGCGATTTTTAAAAATCGCCATCCCAGAGGGCGGCGAAAGTTACGTGGCAGACGGCAGTTCGCTCTCGGGCGACGGCCGTCAACGAAATTTGCAGGCGGCCCCCTTGCCGCCCTCCGCTAGGGCGATTTTGTACTGTGCGGGGGGCCGCCTGCAAATGGGCGGCGGGGGGCCTGGAATTTTGCAGGCGGCCCCCTTGCCGCCCTGGGGGAGGGCGATTTTATACTGTGCTTTATATTTTTGTATAAATATCAATAGTTATCAAATCTTTTTATATTGAAAACTATACAAGATTAAAATCTCCAAGACTGGTAAAATACAATTTTATTATTTTTTAGGACCTATTTGGAATGTTACCGTACAAATATTTTGTTAGTGCCAAAATATAAGCAAGTTTTGGCACTACCAAATTTTTGGTAAGGTAAAATTACATTTGATCATATTTGGTTTGCTGCCAAAATGTAAAATTGTAGTGAAGAATGTTCTACATAATCTCAAATCTAGATTACGTATTACCAATGAATAGGCTTCAATCGAAATCAAACACAAGTACTATTCAAATTACCAAAATATTGGTAGGGCATGTTTTTGGTAGCAATCCAAATAGGCCCTTAGTCTTACGCATACAAAAAAATCACCACCATAATTAAACATTGTAATGATAAGATAGATAAGAAGTGCCATCGATACACGGTACAAATTTGTCGATCCCGACGAATCAAGCATGCGGTAACCTATCGGCCCCTTCTAGGTCGGTCGGAATGCATTGCATTCTCGTGGTCCTTCAATCGTTGATACTCTACTTGTGTTTCTGACTCTGTTATCTTCTGGCCATGATATGATGGAGTGACATTGTCGATCCATCGAGTAAATCCACCCATCCTTGGATTGCCCTGTAAAAATAGTAATGTTATTCAGTTTGGGTAGTAATTTTGTGCAAATCATAGCGGATTTTGTAAATGGTTAGACATACAACGAAATCGTTGTCTACATTGGGGCAGACAAAATATCTCCTTCGAAATGTTTGTTCAGCAAATGATGTAGCCACCTGCCAGCGATCTCTGCACCCACACTTTGGACGCTCGGACCATTTAGGTAACCCTAATGGATTGTTCCTCCAGTCTAAGCTTGCAATTTCCACCCGACGTTCGTACTCCATCCAAGCATGAATGAACTGTATGGTCGATTCAGGTTGCGTTATCGGCCCGCCACTTGAAGTAACTCTGACTGTGTCAATCCATTGTACGAATTGACATTTCCTTACATCCTCCTATGTACATCCATTTTGGGATAGTTAAGTTAATGATAGTACTGAGGAGTGATGAAAAGAATAGTTGTAATTACCACGAAATCATCGTCGACAATGTTTGGACACACGAAACACCTTTGTCCTCGAGTTCGGTGCCTTACGGACCTTATGACCTGACAACGGTCACCACAACGACACTCCGGACGCTCACGCCACGTGGGGAGTCCTAGGGGATTTACGTGCCATTCTAAAGCCTCAGCAGCAATTCGACATTCATGCTCATCCTTCCGCCTTAGGTAGTCCGATCTTGTTTCACTACGTGGGTAAGCACGGGTTCCGTCATTTTGTGGGTTCTCCATGTCTACCCACTCGATGAAGTTGCACATTGGACGATATGTCTGCGTAAGATGTTACAATTGTGTACGAAGAAGTTAGTTTTTTTATCCATTTGAACTTCGAATAGATGAAGCATACCTGATCAAAGTTCGCGCATTGGAAGAATCTCCTGCCCCGAGTTTGTATCATGAGGGAAGACTTGAGTATGCATCCATCCCCACAATCGCACAAAGGACGGTCACACCATGGTGGAAACCAACCAGCAAAAGGATCGCTTCGCCAGTTGAGACGCTCAAGGAATGGCGCTTCCATTTTCGTGTGTTGTGTGCTAGTGGGAAAGAAGATATGAAGAGGTTGCCTTCAGATTGTCAATTATATAGCGTCGTTTTCACTGCAATATATGTGAACTCAATGAGATACATTATTCATTAGATGTGACAAGACAATCACGCGTGGGCGTGATTCACTTTATGTCAACAGGCAGCGCCGAAAGTTGATAGTGACAACTCGAGCTGCCGCTTTTCATGTGTGCTGTTGTGGACTGTGCGCGCTACTGGATCTGACACTACCGTGAAGCGCCGAAAGTGTGTTGTCGTGAGCATAAGTTGTTCTAGCACCATATGAATGAAAAGAACTATGTAGACGAGACAAACACAAGTAGTACTGCAGTAGTAATAGCAAAAGTAGTACTGCTTTACAAGTTTGTAAGCTAAAAGAAACGGTCACATAAGGAATGAAGAGGTAGAACACTACTGACGAGGCCTCTTACCCCTATCCCTCCTACCCTGCGCCCTAATGTGCCCCTGGGAGTACGTGAGTCGGTCCGGGGGTACGGCACGGCCAACCCGTCCTGCCTGTACAGGTGTGATCTCTGGCTGCTCCTGAGTGTGCTCCTCTGGAGCTCCTCCAAGCTGAGAGGAGCCTAGTACGTCGTGGTGGTGTGCACCGTGCAAGTCGTCGTCGTAGAACTGGCTAGTAGGACCAGTCCTACCGGCGTGAGACGAAGAGGCCCCAGTACCGAAGATCCCGGCTGCAAATCCTGCTGGACAAGGACCATCAGTTTCATACAGGTATTTAATAGTATTAATAAAAAGTAAAGTACCGTGTGGGCGAGGGATCGACGCTCCGTGAGAGGAAGAGCTGGCGAACGCGCCCGAAGAGGTGGCGAACGCCCCTGCGGAGCTCGCGGAAACGCCGGTCGTGCCTGCGAACGCGCTCGAAGGCAGACGAGGTCCTGCGATGAGGAAACGTGCCGTTAAAACATGGTGACATATTCGTGCAAAAGCTGAAACAAAAATGAACTAATCTCTGGGCTGAACTGTACTGTGCGAAACCGGTGCTGTAGGTCGCACTGCTCCGAAGCCAGGGGTGCTCGAAGGCAAACGAGGTCCTGCGAGGATGGAACATCAAGTTATGACGGGGTGATGTTTTCGTACAAAAACAGAAACAAAACTTAAGAAACCTCTGGGCTGAGCAGTACCGTGCGAAACAGGTACCGT